CAACGTATATGAACTGAAAAGTTACACTTAGAAAGGGGCTTCCTTGACTCAAAGCATATTACCAAACTTTTGTAAGGCTACCTCTAAATACGTATGTACAATTGAACAAAGCAAATCACACCAGAGTCCAGAGAATGAAAGATTAAGTAAATGTTTTGTGAAAATCGCAACTGTCCATTATCAATTTACCACAACAAGCAACAACAAAAAACAGAAAAGTAGAAACCTCGGGAGTTGAAGAAAGGGGAAGGCCCTTAATCGAAGGAGGAAGAGGAGATGGTGCCAAGTTGTAGGTGGGTCTTATCAATTGCAGTGAAATAGGCTGCTGAGGAGGGAAATTGAGTAAGGGCCGAGATGGGTAGGCAGCTCCAGCTCCTCCTCCTCCGGCGTTGGCCACAGTGACTGTGTGTTCGCCTCCGGCAGTGGCGGGCCAACTGGGCCTGGGAATGAAGCCTCGGCCTGAAGAAGCCACTGGGTAAAGAACCCCCTGATTGTGATGTGCTGCTGCTGCTACTGGTGATGCTGATGGTGATTGGGTTCGAATTGGGAGGGCTTGGCTTGGGTACAGATTAGGCGGAACAGGAGAAGATGATATGGGTCTTATAGGTCTCGTGGTGGTTGTGGGGACAGTGGAGGTGGCTGTGGTGGTGGCCATGGCGGCAGTGGCTGTAGTGGTGGTGTGGTTGGGATCTATGGCCATGGCGGCAGTGGCGGGGAATTTTGGGAATTTGGTGCGCTTTGGTTTTTAATTTTTGAATCTTAAAGAAAAGTTCCCACTGCTCACCCACCCAAACTCTCTTTATTTATCTTTATCATATTTCTTTTTTTGTTGCTTAAATATCCAATTTTTTATAACTGTTTTTAAACTCAGCTTCAATTTAACACGTGATTAAACTAAAATTTTAGGTTAAATTCCTTTTTTCTCGCGCCTACCAGCTTAAGCACCTGATTAAACTAGTACCGCCAGATTCATCCAACGGCTCACTTGCCGCCCTTGTTAAACTCATATCATATATAATCAAATATTAAAAGCTGCTCAATGGACTATTTTACCGTTGGGGATTAAATATAAATAAGCTTTTTATCACAAATAGTCTTTGAGGTTTGTGAAATTATCATATTTTGT